GGTGCTGCAGGCGGTGGTGGACCGGGTCAGCGGGTTCTGGTGCTGCAGGCGGTGGTGGACCGGGTCAGCGGGTTCTGGTGCTGCAGGCGGTGGTGGACCGGGTCAGCGGGTTCTGGTGCTGCAGGCGGAGGTGGACCGGGTCGTCGGCGCCGCTCACTCTCTGTCTGTCTGTTTCAGGGAGACGGGCTCCGCTGAGGGAAGCCAGGTGATGCCTGAAGGATTTCTCGCCGCCATGGGTGAAGGTAAGGCCGGCGGGTCGGAGGAGTCGGATCAGAACCGAACCGGTTGCTGCATCGACCAGCAGGACATGTTCTGGATGCAGCCATGCAGGGGTTTAGATCAGACTGAGCAGGTCCGGTTCTGATCCGATGAATGACTGAAGCAAACATCTGCTTTGACTCGACACCAACTGGTTCTGAATGAAACGGACTTCATGACATTTATTAATAGAACCTTTTTATCAGAACCGGCTCCCAACGGGCCTCCCAGTAGAACCTATCGACCCGGACATGGAACCGGCTCCCAACGGGCCTCCCAGTAGAACCTATCGGCCCGGACATGGAACCGGCTCCCAACGGGCCGATAGGTTCTACTGGGAGGCCCGTCAGGAGCCAGATATCTGAGCCAGGTACCGGTCCAGTTCTAGATGTGGATCCTGGTTCTGCAGAACCTGCCCGGTTCTCTCAGCTTCTGGGTCCAACTTTGGACCGGACCTCTGAGCTGGACAGAACCGGCTGAGAGCAGAGAGAGGCCACGCCCCCTCAGCTTCAAAGCAGTCTGAAGGAGAAGGCTGAAAGTTTTCACATCCTGGTCTTTACCAGAACCCAGTAGGGGTCCAAATAGAACCTAAGCAGAACCAGAACCTTTAGAGAACCGCTGCAGTCAGACTGAGCCCAGGTGTGACCCAGCTGGACCCGTTTCCTCCCTTACTGGTGACAGAAAGCACTTATATTCAGCTGCCTGCCGCACCGTTCAGATTCCTGTCTGGTCTCCTGCAGATGTTCAGGTCCAAACAGCTGAGGTCCACTGGGCTGTAGAACCATGCAGAGGTTCTGCAGGAGGACGGGTCCAGCTTGGAGCTGCAGGTGGCGTCTCTGCTCTCAGCGGCGCTCTGAGCCTAATTGGATTAAGCCCCGCCCCCTGCTGTGGGGTTGTCAGGTGAACCAGAACAGAGGAAGGTCAGAGTGAGCGGTGCTGGTTCTGGTCCTGGTCCCTGTCCTGGTCCCTGTCCTGGTCCTGGTCCCTGTCCTGGTCCTGGTCCTGGTCCTGGTCCGGTGCGGTTGTCTTTGGAAGCTGAGGGAAATCTCTGACTGAAGCTTCTCCAGGTGAGCCTGCAGAACCAGCTGGTTCTGGTCCAATAAGCCCGCCGAGGCCTGCGGCGCAGTGAGGGGGGGTCTCTGGTGGGCCGGGGTCTGACCCGGGTTCAGGTCTGGATCAGCAGGGGCGCTCGGTTCTGACTGTGCCGTTGCCGTAGGAACCGTCTCTCAGGGGTTTTTGATGTGTTTTTCCTCTGTGGTCTGGAGCTAAGCTCAGGTCACATGACCCGTGATCACTGATGTCATCGCTATGGCAACGGCTGCAGGGGGAGTTCAGCTGGTCCTCCGTGGCTCCCAGTCTGAACTGGTCTCTGGTCCCAGTTTGTTCATGAAGACGGAAGCTGCAGAGGGAAGGGAAGCGTTCTGCATGCAGACATTCCACGTCCGGTCGGGGCTGCAGACGGTCGGTTCTGACCCAGATGTAGGCAGGAGTAGCAGTCCAGTACTGGTTCTGGTTCTGGTCTAATGGGACTGGGATGCGTCCCGTCTGCTGTGCTGGGATCAGCAGCTCCAATCTGAGCAGGCGCTGGATTATCTGCTGCCTGATCCTCATTAGGCCAGATTAACCACAACAGCCGGGCCTGAACCGGACCTGCAAAGAACAGGTTCTGTTCCTGGTCCTGCAGGCGGTTCTGATGCCCACCAGAACTCATGTTCTCAGCTGGAGGGAATCCTTCCAACCTGTGACCCACCTACTGAGCCCAGATCTTTTACATTTAATATTATTAGTATAGTAAATTCATTGCTTTTGACTTGGCAGGGTGGATTGCTGTTCTTTTATTAGTTTATCTTTGCTGTATGATCCTAGCTTAACTTAGCTAAGCTTAGCTCAGGGGGCTCACTGTGACATTAGGCTATAGTGACCAGACGTCCCTAATTTTACTGTTTTATGAATGAGGGGGTAAATCTTGTGTGTAGACAGTTATTACGGTAGAAAGGGGTTCAAGGAGACAGAAACAGACATAGAAAAAGAAGCATAGATACAAAAGGCAACTGTCAA